GGCTCCCCTTGACGCAGGCCAGGCGCTTGCCAACCCCTGCCTGGCCCTACCCTTAGGCAAAATAGGCTGCTGCCTGGCGTGGCCATAGCAGGCCCTCCACTGATCATCCAGACCAAGCCTGGCCAGTCTCTAGGGATCCATTTTTTTCAAGCCCTTTAATACACGCATAAGCCCTTCTAGGCCAGCAAGAAGTAATCAGAACATTTAAAAAGAAACATGCACAAAAACCCAGATAGTTTCCTTTATTTTTCACAAACCAGATTTGGGCTAAAAGAGGTATAGGGGGAAGCCAGATGTCTTGTTTTAGAGGAGAAAGAGACCTCCTAGAAGTATTATTTTTCCCAAGTTTTTTTAAAAAGTCAATTAATATTTGTCATTGTTGAAAACTATTTTGGATGGAGTTGTGTGTGCCACCTAAATCGTAGAAAAATGGAACCGGAAAGGCTTATAAAGCTGATGGATCAACCCCTTCCTCAATGAAGGAATCCAAATCAAAGTATATCTAACAGATAACTGTTCAGTTTCCTCTTCAGCGACTCTAGAGTCGGAGCACTCACCACCTCCAGAGTTAATTGGTTCCATTCTTGTACTGCTCTAACAGGAGGTTACAGCCAAAATCTGGCTTCCTGTACCTTGAGCCCATTATTACGTGTCCTGCACTCTGGGATGACTGAGAACAGATCCTGCCCCTCTTCTGTATGACAGCCTTTCAAGTATTCGAAAAGTGCTATCCTATCTCCCCTCGGTCTTCTTTTCTCAAGGCTAAACATGCCCAGTTCTTTCAGCCTTTCCTCCTGGGGCTTGAATTCCAGTCTTCTGATCATCCTTGTTGCCCTCCTCTGAACTTGCTCCAGTTGGTTGGCATCCTTCTTGAAGTGTGGTGTCCAGAACCGGACATGGTATTCAAGATGAGGCCTAACCAGTGCTGAATAGAGGGGGACTACGATCTCACTGGATTTGAAGACTAGACTATTAATGCATCCTAAAATAGCCTTTTTGCATCCACTTTGCACTGCTGGGTCATATTCAGCTTGTGATCTATGATAGTTCCAAGCACTTTCCTGCTCAACTTTTACCTCAATTGCAACTAGAGGAGGACCATTTGAATCAACTGAACAGTTGACTCAGCAAATCCTCAGTGGTCCCAAGGGCCTACTCTAGTGCAACATACAATGCTAAGCAACAGGATTTTTTTTAGCCAGTGAGACCAAAATCGCGATTATAAGTCATTAAAAAGTTACAATCCCCCCCCCACAAGAGCTAAAGTTGTTCCTTGTTCCAGGATAGCCACAAGAAAAAGGAATGACTTTCACCTAATTTGTTGTTTGTACCTCCAACAAAAAGCTTCTGTGGCATATGGAAGGTTGAGCAAGTTTTACTTGGCGTAACTGTTCTGCTGGAGCCTCCTTCTTGAGATGCAGAGAACGTGGTCTCCGTAAAGCACCGATTCCCAGCATCTGGGTCCCCAGATGTTCTTGGGCTAAAACTCCCGGAAGCCTTTTCACCCCTTGCTGTGCTGGCCAGGATTTTTTGGGAGCTGTAGTCCAAGAATATGTGGGTTACGCAAGGTTGGGAAGCATTGCAGTCATGGCTAGGAGGGGCTGAGTAGAGGCCACTGAGGCCAGAGTCTGTGCACCTGAAGAAATGACTGCAGTCCCACAAAAGCAGATGCAAAATGAAATTTGTAGTATTTCAAAGAGTCCGAAGACTCTTTTTGGTTGTTGTTACATTCTGCTGTCTGCCTCTCTAGGAGGAGGCACTTCCAAGCTCTCTTCAGCACTGCTGGGAGTTGCAGTTCAATCCTATCTGGAGGATCAGGGGTTCCCTACTCAAGAGCTACAATCCTTCTTGAGAAGGGGTTACGATGGTGCTGAGAAGGGAAGCTTGGCCAGTCAACAAAGACAGGGTGGCTTTGGAACTGGCCAGTCCCCCTGCTTCCCAGCTGAGCTGTTGCCGCCTTGGCCATCCTCACTGTCTGTTTCCCCACTCCCCTCCTCAGGCTGGACTATTGTGACGAAGCGGTGAAGGACCCTGAGCAGGACCTACCTGTTGACATCCACCAGCCTCCGCCATTCGTGCACAAGCTCCTGCAGCTGAGCGGTGTCCTGTTTTATTATGAGGATTTCTCAGAGGGGAGTGGCTCTGCGCCATCCCGTCCCAAAGGTATGTCCATGTGGGGCTGACCCAAAGCCATATACCCCGCTCCCCCCCCCAACTCCAGGCCCTTCCGGATTAATCCATCCCAGCCGGCTGCGATGGGTGGGAGTCGCGGTCTGACCCATTCAGGTAGGGCTGGAACCCCCCATCATTCTTGCCACGGCCGTAGGCTCGCTCTGTTTAGAAACGCCCTGATCTTCTCCCGCTCACTCAGGAGGAAGCGGACGCATCTGCCTGCCGAGAACAGGAGGCCTCCTCCAGCCCTTTGCTTCAGATCGGCAGCTGCTCCAGATACACAGAGATGAGAATCAAGCTTGAAGCAGAATGAGGCCTTTCCCGGACCCAAGGTCAGCCAGACAGAGATTGCTGGTTCATTTGCTAAGTTCTTTATCAAGCTTTTTCTCCAAAGAGCTCCAAGCAGCTTGCCATGTTCCTTGGCAGCAAGACTCTGCAAAGGGGGTTAAGCCACCTGGGTCACTTCCGGCAGTTTGAACCCAAGGCGTCTCAGTCTGTGTCTAACCTGCTAGTCTTCCAAAAGCTGTTGGGCTGGAGCTCCTCGATGCATTGACCTCTGAGGGGGATGGGACTAGCAGCCCAGTGGCATCAGGCGAGCCTCAACTTAGGCCACCCTCCTGTGCTAGGCCATGCGGGCTCTCCCCTCTGAGGACGGGCGGACGGCGCCCCTCAGCTTACGTTTAAAAGTTTTGTCTGGGATTCATTTCACCATCTGAGGAAGATTCTGGTCCATGAAAGTTCAAACTGAAATAAAATTGTGGGTCTTTGAAGTGCTACAATATTTTGGTTTTCCTTTTTCTGTCCACACAAGGAACTTCATTCCACCTTCAGGGAAACCAGCCTCAAGATCTTGGGGCCAGGAGGGCAGGAGAACAGTATTCTGTCAACCCTACAACCCGTTCCAAATGAGCTTTAAGACATACCAAATGAACCGACTCATTCGTAAACAACTTATAAACCAAAGGCCTGAAACAAACAACCAAACGTGCATTCTTATGAGACTCAGAAGTCACTTTTTTTAAAGTTTACTAAGCACCATATCCTGATTTCTTGGTTATTAGGGTCAAGTAGAGCCTTATCAGTAATCAGCAGAATTTCCTGCTTAGCAGCCCAGGAGAAAAGTGGCGAAGGGTGGGATTCTATGCACACCATTGAATCAGTGAGAGAGATTTTCCTTCTGTCCCACCAATAATGGGGGATCACCTCTATTACTATGCCTGTCGGGATGAAGGAAGCTTATGAAATTGCGGGGCTCAAGACAATTCCAGCTTCCACATCCGCCTTTGGAGTCAGCGTGAAGTACCTGGCTTAGAATCCCGGACTGGGACTCAGAAGCCCTGACTTCTTTTCAGAGAGGCAAAACTTCATTTACCCAAATCACTGAGCTATCCAGCAAAAATGGAAAATGTTACAACAGTTCCTTTCATTTGATGGGGTGGCTCCACATCTCAAGACACCCTCTTTCATTCTGCACAACAAAATTTGCAAGTGTTTGTCACATCACTAGCTTATACAGTGGTACCTCGCTAGATGATAATAATCCGTTCCACTGAAATCGCTGTTTAGCGAAATCATTGTCTAGCGAAAAGCATATCCCCATTGGAATGCATTGAAATCTGTTTAATGTGTTCCAATGGGGAAGAATTGTCGTCTAGCAAAGATCAGCCATAGGAAAGCCGCTTTGTGAACTGCCGATCAGCTGTTTAGATAGCTGTCTTGCGAAGCTTAGATCCCTAAAACACCTGTTTTGCGAGTGCGGCGGGAGCTGTCAAAATCGTCTAGCGAAAATCAGTTTGCGAAGCAGGGACCAAACATTGTCCAGTGAAATTCTCCCATAGGAATCACTGTTTTGCGAATCGCTATAGCGATCGCAAAAAGTCAGTTTCTAGCGAAAAAACTGTCATGTGGGGTAACTGTCTAGCGAGGCACCACTGTATTCCCCCACTCAGTTATGAAGCTATCTGGGTGATTTTGGGCCCTCAGCCTGGCCCACGTCACAGGGAGGTTGTGCGGATATGACTGGGGAAAAAAAGCAAAAATCGTGCAGTTATGTATCATGACTTGAGCTGACTGGAGAAAAGAACAGAACATAAATGAAGTTAGAAGGATAATAGTGTGAGCCTAAGGCTAGAGAAATGACAGACAGTCTAAGGTACCAGGCCAAACAGGCAGTGACCGAAGACGGGCTGAGGAAGGAGAGACGGGATAAGGCCAGGAGAAAGCTATTCTTAGTTGCCATGACCAACTAACCAGGCACTTAGCAGGAATGGCATGCTGTGATCCATCCTGCATGAGACAGGCCCCTTCTCAAGAATGGAAAAGCAGCGCTTCTGACCGCCTAAAGGGTATGGCTTCCTGGCACAGGAATCCTGCTTTGATGGGGCAAGAAAAGACGCAGGGCGCAGTAGCATGGAGTCCTTCCTATGCCAGCCATGGATTTCCAAGTTACATTCAGACACTTTTAACATGAGGTGGGCTGGAGAAGCTTCCTCCAGAGAGGCCAGTCCTCTCGGCCAAAAGGGCACTTCTTTATTTATTGTGTTTAAAGGAAAGTGCTCTTGGCTGCTCCTCCCAGAAATGAGAACATTTCCTCTCAGGACACAAGTGCAGCATACTTTAAATGCCACCAAATTCTCTTACATATATCTATTTGTGACCATTTCTAATGGGATAGCTATCTTAGTGGGAGCACAGAGGACGGAGTGACGGTTTAAGACCCAGATTCAAATCTGTATTCTGACACAGGAACTCACGCCCCTGCTATAATACAGTGTTCTCCAACCTTGGGCCTCCAGTTATTGTTGGACATCAACTCCCAGAAATCCTGGCCAGCAGAAGTGGTGGTGAAGGCTTCTGGGAGGTGTAGTCCAACAACATCTGGAGCCCCAATGTTGGGGACCACTGGTCTAGCACAGTGTTCTCCAACCTTGGGCCTCCAGATGTTGTTGGGCATCGACTCCCAGAAATCCTGGCCAGCAGAAGTGGTGGTGAAGGCTTCTGGGAGCTGTAGTCCGAGAACATCTGGAGGCCAAAGGTTGGGGACCACTGCTATAATAGGTTCATTTTTCTTTAAGCTCTGACAAATGCTTAAAGCGGCTCTGATCTGTTACATTTACCTCCGGCCTTATTTTTTCCCCAAGGAGTTCAAGACCTCTTGTGGCTTTTGCCCTATTTCTTCCTATTTTGCACTCACAATGACCCTGAACTTAGCTGGGAAAGAGCTGAACTGCTGGGCAGCTCAGTGGTTGAGGTATCTGGCTGTGAAACCAGAGGTTGGGAGTTCGATTCCCCGCTGGGCCTCCTGAACAGGGACTGGACTTGATGACCCATCGGGGTCCCTTCCAACTCTGCAGCTGTCATATTATTACTGTGTTATCTATGCCATTTCAACTGAGCTTTTCCATCAAGAATTAGCACTGAAACCTTCCTTCAGTATTCTGATGAAGGATCATTATAGGTAGAAGGACAGCTGAAACACAACACATGCGAGAGTTTAAAAGAGACAGCACCATCTCTCCCAGTCTGAAAGCTAAGCAAAGCAAGAATAGGAGACAACGCCCCATATGATAGCTGTCGAGTTTAACCTACCACAGAATCACAGGGCTGTAAAGCTGGGAGGTCTCCAAGAGATCATCTAGTCCAACCCTCAGGGAAAGAAAGAAAATCCACAGCTCAAGCGTTCCACAACAGATTCATCCAATGTCTAATAGTAATAAAAAGAAACCTTGCAGGAAAGTCAACCACCTTGCAAGGCAGTCTATTTCACGGTCAAATAACTCTTACCAGGACACACACACACACACTCATTTGGTATTGATGCAACACCTGAAAGGCGAGCTTTAAAAAGGATGTCCTGGACCAACCTACCTTTGGCTGTATCAGCTCCTGATACAGACTGACAGCTTTTCCTCCCAAACTCTCCTCCTCAAAAAAAAGCAGCATGGAAGTCAGTTTCCATTATGGACACCATTACCACCACAATCCTACAATGTTCTCCTAAAGATCATTGTGGAAGTGGTATCCTGAACATCCCGCCCCCCAAACCCCATCTGGCCACCAGGATCCCAGTGGGATTGCAATCCTTGCAGGAATGAGTAGAAAGCACTACTAGACCAAAGGGCAACTAAAAGTTAAGGCAGAACTGGCAGAGCTAAGCGTTAATTCCCACTCAAGACAAGCCATAAAGCAAGCCACAACAAAAGAATCTGCAAGACTGCAACATGGGGCTTGTACAAGGGTTAGCAACGAGGAGAGGCAAAGGGGCTTAAATCACTGCTATCTCTTTACAACCTGAGTAAGTGAAAGGCCGTTACTCTCTCCTACAAAGCATCCTGGACTCTGAGGTCTTCAGAATCCTTCTCAGCCCTGCCATCCCAAACCCAAAAACATTTTCACTGCCTCCAGATTGTGGAAGAAGCTACAGGTAAAGCCAGGATGCCAGCCGCCGCCACCCACCAGGCTCGCTGTCCATCCACCAGCTGGAAGGGACCTTTCTATTCAAGCAGGCTTTCAGAAAGCTTCTAAAGACACAGCTTTTAGCTGTGATCATCATCCTTTTAAATTACTGCTATCTCAATTGAATGCTTTTAAAGCAGTTTCAAACTCTACTGTCTTTCAATTCCATAACTTGTCAAATTATGTCTTCATGCTGTAACTCACTGCGCTTTTTTTCATACTTCTTTCCCCATACATTCCATTTCTAGAAGAAAGTCAGAGTATGCATCATATAAATAAAATCTCCAGCGAATACCAGGGCTCCTGCCTAGGACTCTGAAAAATTAGTATCAGTCAACAGAGACAATAGGAAGAACAAAAGATCAATGCTGCAGCTTCAGATGTTCTCAGAAAACATTGCACGGCTATTCTTCCTCCACTCCCCCACCCATTCTTAACCAATTTTCTCTGGGAAAGAAAAAAATATGGAAAAAGTGATAAAATACAGTCTTGGAACCCTATCCTGTCCACGCACAGAGGAAGCGTCCCCGTTCAAAAACCTCACTTGGAATCGTCCAGCACATTAAATGGCTGTCTATATTCTAGCACTGCATTTTTGCCGAGCTTGTCCAAATCTGCCTCTCCCGCAACTGCAGTTAAAGGCCTATTCCAAGCTGCAAAGAGGCCCAGACCTCACAAGGACATGCTGGATTATTCATTTGAGTGTATGAGTTTAGGGGGAGGGATATGAGAGTGTTAAGCCTATCAGGGTGCAATATTAACTAGGAGCATTCCCAAAGTGTTCTGCTAGAGAGGGAATTACCCACCCTTCCAGACTGCCCACAAACCTCCAACCTACATCTATCAAAGGATGCACTGACTATTGTGAAGCTTTAATTGTTGTGAGCCTCCTTACGTTCCCTATGGGGAACAAGGTAACATATACATATATAGATAAGTAATACTTTGGCTTTTACCACGCTGAGACAGATTAATAAGCTACCTCTTTGCAAAAGGAGCAACACTGACACAGACTATTTCTGTATGCATCAGTGGGCAGGGCATGCAACTGGGAGAAGAGCTTTTCCGTCTAGTTTTCTGCAATTTATTTCCGACAGCTTAAAAAGCCTCCCCGACTGCCCAGAAAGAAGGGCGTTGCACTGTTGTGCCAAAAAGAGAATTAGTAGGGTATGTATTTGGGGAAAGAGGGGAGTAGAAGGGAACTACAAGTTTAGGCTGGAAGAGAGACAGCTAAAGGTGCCAGAAATTTTACAACTAAGCATGACCACAGTTATCATGCAAAGTTACGGAAGAAATGAAAGCAACATCAAGCAGG